AAAGAATAAGCTCTGGAGCACTGCAGTTCTTTTGAAGAAAGTATTACTTATCCCAAGACTATAGGTTTCATTTTTGAGTATATATGCCTTCTATAGTCTTTTCTTTAAAATGTTTATTGCAAATGTTAATTTTAAACAGATGGCTTTGTTTTGTGATAGAGTGGATTGAGTATGCATTTAATAGATGCTGTGAACACTTCTCTCTACAAGAAACCATTTACTTTTGAGCCAAAGACTGACATGATATTTCCTCTCTGAAACATTGCCTTGTTTAGCTGTTTGCTTGCTCTACTTTCCATTTCTTCTGCTTTTGGCGCCCAGTTGTTCAGGTGTTTCGCATAAAAATTTAGCATTTCTATTTGCAAAGATCAGACAAGAATTATACACGCGCTCTCCCTGTTATGCTTAGCATTGCCTCCTTCCAGGGGTGCCTTCCTCCCTGCTGGGTAAGCAAGGCAGCTGCCTTCATTCTCCTGGGTAAAACATTCTGCCACAGGAACACCTGTTATCAAACTTGGAATTTATTTTCTTTTAATTTGTCAAACTGTGTACCTTTTTCCAGTCAATATTAATTTCCATCATTAGCATCTTGTCTTTCAAACTTTGAATCACAATGGTCAGTCAAACTCTTATTTTGTCACCCATTATGTACATTGATTTGCTTTGAAAGTCACAAATATCTTTACTACATAGTTTAGTTATAAAAGTAACATAGTCATGTGAATTAAAATATGAACTGAAGGAAAATACAGCATTTTCCTACAATCCACCACTTTACTGCAGTCATTAATCTACTTATTTACCCATGCATGCTTTCACATAGCTATAATAATAGTGTCCATAACAATTTAGTGTCTTAATTTGTAATCATTTAACATTTTATCATGAGGCTTTTCCCTGTTATGACATAGTCTTCTCAAACCTTTCTTTTATAATCATCATTTCAGTGGCTGAATAATATTCCATTCAAGGGCACACTATAATTTTTTTAAATAATCCCCTATTGGTGACCATATGAGATAAATCTGATATTTAAGTTTGATAAACAAGGATCTTAAGAACATCTTTGAGCTTATAGCTTTTTAAATATTTTGCTTAACCTAATGGGGTGTTTTTTATCTATTCCTAGACTATTAATTTGCCTCAATTTATATCTAAAGAGTATATCTGTCTCTATCTATTTATTACTGATTTACTACAATAGTTAAATTTTGAAGCCCTAATATCAGGCATGGGTACAACCAATCAGTGTATTAGGAAGAGATAATTTTCTGCAATTTAAATATATTAATTTACTCAAAATACCCTTTTTGAAAAGTATGTCAAGTACTATTCCTGACACATTAGAGAGACACCACCTCTGTCCTAATAAAGCTTTCTTTATTATGGATGCTGCAGACAGATCTATAGAAAAGATAGTGCTTTGACAGGGACACAGACATACTATAAAAACACATAGATGAGGTTCAATCCTCTCATTCCAGAGCCTTCTAGAGCTTCCTAGAAGGAGTAACATTTAAATAAAGAATATAGACCTAGTCAGCAAAAATGTCAGGTGGGATAGAGAAAGGGTGATACACTTTAAGCACTACTAATGGCGTGTGAAAACCCACAAAAACAAGGGAATGTATGTGGTAAACAACTCAGTGAAGGAAAGCAGTGCGCCTGCAGAAGGGCTCACATGCAGGAAAATTTGAATGTTTCTTTTGCATTTTGCTTAACATTCATTAGCAATCAGATTTAAACCTTGAAGTATCTGTTGAGTTGATAATCCAAGTTTCCTTTCCAGCCAAAGTCATCCTATTCTGATACAAAGCATTGTATTAGAGGGCCCATTATACTGCAAACTTGCCTGCATCAGATGGTATCATTTAGGTTATTTTGATAGCAGGAGGATGAAAAAGATATTATGTTTCTAGTATCATTTCAAGGTCCATGGAGTGAGTTGAGGGAAACCCTCAAGGGAAGCTCTATTCAACAAGTTACTCCATAATTCTTTTCCTAAACACTGAAATTCCTAGTGCTTCTCTCTCCTTTGGCTTCACATATTGAAAGCCCATGTTAATTTGTACATTTTCTAGTGTACAGCATCACGTATTCTGTTCCTTTTGACCATGAACACTTTATAATAAATTATTTTTTTATATTGATTAGCAAAGAGGTGTGGCATTAAAGAAATGGGTCACAGTAGAGTCAAATTTTAATTGTGAATGATCGGTACAGTTCCTAATAAGGGTTTCTCTTTAGAAAACTGAAAACTTAAGTGTGAATCGTAGACTTGTAGAAGACTTGGAATGCAGGAGTAGAGAGTAGAAAGAAAGTATATCCCCAAACAATAATGAAATGGCTCCAAATCATACCCCATTCACAAATTTTCCTAGTCTGAACCCTGTCCACTGTAACCATTCAAGAGGAAAGTTGGAAATACTTTTGAAATGTAACTCATTTTAAACATCAGATATGAGACCTTTTTTGTTGCATGGCCAATTTTCCAATGTAATGTAGACCAAAAGAATCATGGCTTCCTAAAGGAAAATAAAAGAAATAAAAATACCATTTGGCTGTTAGGTCATACATTATTAGGCACAACCTGTACTTAGGGAGTCATGCAGAGTTGTGCTTGGTAAGGAGAATAATAATGCAATTGTTAGCTCCAAAATGAGGTGGAGTAGTTTAATTATGATTTGCTTATAACAAGCATCACTAATTTCTCTACTCCCATTATATGACATCTGTAATTCACTGTTTCAGTACTGAGGGAGTCATTTGACTGTTATATTCTGATTCTCCTCCTTCTGGGCACCCGGTAGTTATTTTTATTCCTTGTCCTCCTTAAAGCTGTAACTTACTTTGGGCAGTAGAATGGGAATGAAAGTGATGTACATCTCTTTCAGATGGGAGCAGTAGATGGTGGAAGATGGAATCAAACAGGCATGCTTTGAACCATATCTGTACAATAGCCATTGGGAAATGTGGAATTGTGAGAAGTATTGAATGAAGAATTAACTTTTATAATCATAGCAAGAGGAAAACAGACAACTACAAATCAGTTTTTTCTAGCTACGTGTTACCTGCTTTGTGGAAATGCTGCTGCTATGAAACCTGCCCAGAGAAGGAAGCACTGGCCTCATCAGTAGTATTTTTAATAGCAAGTTGAGACTTTACCCATGTGATTTTGAAAAGACTTCTTGTTTTTATAATCTTGAGGTTTAAGAGTTCTGTCTAACCCATGGGGATTCAAGGGGAAATTATTAAAGCTAGCATAATTGAAGAGAAGGTGAAAATTGTAAAATAGCAGGTTTCTTTTCTCTTCTGGTTGGTATGAGACATTTTTTTCACTGAGAGAAGCTAATAAAATTTATTTCATGTACTTTTTTTCTTTGCTATATTAGTTTTCTGGCCTTAATGAAAATTTGTTAAGAAAGCTATTTATAAATATGAAAAAGATGGCTTAGAGGGTTTTAGTTTAATTTTTTAAAATGAGAATTGTGCTGTTTCAGTGCTGACCCATTAATAATCTAACTCTTCTTAATTATTTCATAAAGTAAAATTCCAAGTTTTCCCATCATTCCAAGTAATAAAACACAAGGATAAAATGGCCCATAGAGAAAGTAATAAAGGAAGAATGTGAAAGACCTCTCAATCATGGGACAAGGACCTTGTAAACTCAAATTTCAGCCCATTTTGGTTTGCCTTCCTAGTGATTATGTGATGATTTATGCATGGTACTATAGAAATGAAAGATGTCCTTTTTTGTCTCAAAATACCTCTACATACTCTTTTGAAGCCTCCTAAATCAGTGATCTTCCCCCACTGGTTATTTAAAGGACATTTTGAGAATCGGGCTGGGCTACATTCCTAACCTTCCCAACCACATCTTTATTTTGTTTCATTCCATGGAAAATGTATATTCCTAGTGAACCCATTCTCCTATTGCCTTACCTGTTTGATATGATAGAATAAGTTGGGTGTAACTCCAGAGAAACAGAAACCTTTCAAGAAAAAGGAAAAAAAAAAAGCAATCTTCAATATGGAGATGGCTGCTTGATTTCAGAATTGCTGCAGACACACTCAAGAGCACGTCCTTGAATGCAAAGTACAAATGAGTCAGTGGTCGTGTACCGACAAGCAAAGAGTTGGAGGGCAGGTCAGTCCTTACAACACTTGGCATGTTTTAGGTGCACATAGTTCTCATCAAATTGGCTGGGAGGCCCCAGTAGAGGTCTCTCGGGAGGCTGTGGTGCCCACTAAAACAACTGTGACTTTCAATAAAAATTTATGCTGTGGATGCCAAAACAAACTTGTGAAAATTGTTCACTTTCAGGCGATCTGGACAAAATCCTTAGGAGGGCTGGAGTCACCATTTAAAAGGCTCTCTATAAGAGCCAAGAGAAATGTATCCTTGATTTATTCGAATACAGGTTCTAGTAAATGGCATATCTACAGTCAGCCAAATTTGTATTTCATACCTGGAGCCTGGATTTGGCTCAGCCTCATTTTGCCAGTGAAAACAGTGAGGCTCCTTCGTCCCTGCTCTCTGAGCCACTAAATAGAGATTTTAGGAATGGGGTGAAACTGGATCTCAAATTTAAAGATTTGGTGATTAATTGGAGGTTCAGGGGAAGTCTTGTTTTCGTTCTTTCAGATAGACTGTGTTCATTGAACCAAAAGGAAAATAATATTTTCAACAAAGCAAAAAAAGCAAGTTTGATTACGAAACTGGAAGCCTTAAGGAAATATTGTTTTTTTTTCTTTTTGGTATTTGAATTTCAGATTCTCGTCAAATGTGAGTCGTAGTCAGTCTGCTTAGTAGTAAATCAGAATGTCACCACTTGACCTTGGCAAAGTTACCTGGTAATGAGGATGAAAGGTGTATGGAACAATTTGTGTCTGAGTCACCAAGTTTTCCTTTAACAGGACAAATGTGTCATCTGTTTTGTCACAGCTGGTCTTGAGCAATAGAAGCTGCAGCGGCCATAGAGAGGAATGGGAAGGACACCAACCTGCAGGTCAGAAGGTGATATGCACACGTAAATGTACTTCTGTAAATGCACAGATGTTCTGAAAGAATGCACAAGAAACTGGTAACAGGTTGCTGCTGCGGTAGGTCCTGAAGTAGGAACCTGGTGAGTCAGGGGTGGGGAAAAATATTTTTTGTGTGTATACCCTTTCTTCATTTAAAATTTATATGTATATATGCATATCTATATACCCCTTTAAGAAAATGAATAATAGTATCCAAAGACAGAGTGAGGAAGAATACATATGAATGTGTGTGTTTGACTCTTCATTAAACTAGGTGGATCATTTTCTCCCTCCAGACCTTAGAAGCCTCTTTTCTAAACTAAAGTGGGCTAGAGTTTAGATGGTTGGATAGCATCACAGATTCAATGGACATGACCTTGGGTCTGGAAGATTGTGAGGGACAGGGAGGCCTGGTGTGCTACAGTCCATGGGGTTGCAAACAGTTGGACACACCTTAGCAACAGAACAATAAAAAGAGTTTAGACTAGAGACATAGTTAATATTTGTTAAATCAGGGACTCCACAATTATAGAAAATAGAAATCTTCATCTGAGTCTGACAGTGGAGAGATATATGTAGTTTTTAATAGCAATATGAATCAAAAGCAGTATCTTACTAGCCATAAAGTTCAAAATTCAGTGGTTATATACTGAGCAGCTGCTCTTGAGAAGGAGCACTCAGGAAGTAAGAGGGGAAGGGAGAAATTGCTTCTCATTGGGTGGAAGCTGTGGGGGACTAGTGGGCAAAGTGTCTAGTACCCCAAAAGGCAGTACAAAACAGCATGTTCATGGGCATAATGGCTTAAGACCACGGTCGCCTAACTGGAATTATGACTTCACAAGAGCTTCTGTCTGTCTTTTCTTTATCTAGGAGCAAACTGTAGTGTGTCTGCCTTTGACCAGCCCAGGTGATGATGTCTTATTAGTTTCCCATAACTGGGCTCTATACTCATTCCTCAGGGTCTTTGCTTGCCCATGCTTCAGACATCTCCTAGCTTTATTCTCGCCCACTCTAATTCCATTACAGCTTTCACCAGGGAAGACTCAGCTCACTTCTCTGGCCCTGCACTTTCTCTAGCTGGTTTTTGAATGGCAGAAGTGATTTCACCCTTAGTCATGTAAGACTGAATGTCTGCCACCTAACTTGGGCCAGAGGATGTGGAAAGAGAGCCTAAGCTTCAAAGCCCATCAGGCCAGACCTACATTCACATTTTAAAGGTGTCCTCACTTGGCCATAGAAATATGACTCAGCTGCTTAAAATCTCCATGCCGGCTGCTTCATTTGTAATGTAATCCCTTAGTTATGCACCATGAGTCTGGAAAGATCCATTAACACAGGCTCTTCTGGAAAGAAAGCATCCTCATTTGAACACATGGGGAATCTAGAGCACAGGCCTCAACCTTGGCACTATCGACTTTTTGAACCAGATCATTCTTCGCTGTGGAGGGCTATTGTTGTGTGTTGTAGGATTTTTAGCAGCATCCCTAGCCTGCACCCTCTAGATGCTGGTAGTGGTACCCCAAATCCATATGTGACATCCAGTAAATAACTAGACATTGCCAAATGTAGTGTCTCTGGGGGTGGACATTTAGTAATCACAAGTTGAACACTGATTCAGAGGATTATCTTCCTATCAAGTTTTGTTTTGGTTTGTACAGAGTCAGACTAGGGTGGGTGTCTGGACAACATTGTCTTTTTCTGATGTTCCCTCCTTTGTGTCTTCAATCCAGCTTCATTAGGCAGCTCGCTAGGCAATGGGGACATGGTTGCCGCAAGAGTTCACTTAAGGCTTTCAGAATTCAGGGCGAGCCTTGACAAGGCAAACAAACTTGGTCTTGCTGATATTGACCAACTCTTAGGTAAGGCTTTCACGCATTTTTACTGTAACCAACTTTCTATCTTTGTGAAGCTCAGCAGGAAAGCAGGGAATAAGGAAAGACAGAAAATTCCAAAAGTCATCTCTCTTCTTTCTTTCTTTCTAGGATTCAGAATACAGTGCTTCCGGCCAACCAGCTGCCATCTCTCTCCCCACTCAAGCAGACTGGTGATCGACAGCATCCACATCAGGATCTATAGGCTGTGACTTAGGTTTTGAACTCTTCTTGGATTGATTATATTTATAGTCATCAGGCCTTGAAGTCAGTCTGAGGAATTTGTACTCTCAATGGGGTGGTTGAGAGAGGAGAACATTTCTGTGTGGAAGGGTGACAGTGTTAAGTGCATCAAAGTCATTGTGGGTGATGGGAACCAAGGAACACTCCTAGATGAGTTGATCAGGATGGCACTCATGATGTTCTAAGATGATCCTCCAGTGAGAGAAGAGGCTAAGAACCAGACGATAGGCTAGAGAAAGTGTTTAAAAATGAAAGGAGATAGGAGGAGAATAGGGCAGTGGCTTAGACTCCTCTTTATCAAGAAGAAAGTAGGTACCCACAACATAGGTTGGTTTCTTTTAATTAATTTATTTTAATAGGAGAATAATTACTTTACAATATTGTGATGGTTTCTTGCCATACATCGACATGAATCAGCCACAGGTATTCACTTGGCCCCCCTGCCGATCCTGAACCCCCCCTCGCATCTCTCTCCCCATCCTACCCCTCTAGGTTGTCCCAGAGCACCAGGTTTGGGGGCCCTGTTTCATGCATCAAACTTGCACTGGTCATCTATTTTTCATATGGTAATGTATATGTTTCATTGCTATTGTCTCAATGTTTTTAAGACAGAGGACACCTGAGACTCTGACAGTGGAGGGTAAGAAGCCAGAAGAACAGAAGAAATTAGATGTGCTAGAGGGGAGACACCAGCCAGGGCAGCAAAATTTCTGAGAAGAAACATGCATCCCCTGGAGATCTGTGGAAAGAATTAGAGGGAATCCCCTCATAATTTACTGTTTTCAATGAAGAGGCTAAAATGCCCTTCATAAAATACACATGAAAAGGTAAAATAGTAGACTGTTATCAGCCAGGAACACTCTAATTTAAACCAGCTTTAGAAATCTGTGGATAATAAACTAGTGATTAAGTATTTATTAAACATTTATCGTTCACGTGCCCTAAGGATTTGGACTTCTGCCAGTTCTCTGCAAAGGCAAAATTATTTCAAAATATTTACATTATATTAAATAGAAAACTTTGAATATTAATCTGGGCTTAACATCTTGTAACTTCTTGTCATCTTCAGCCAAACTGGTCACTGTTATCTCTTATAACAAAAAAGGTGTGTGCCCAGTTTAGTGGGTGAACAATGACTGAGTGCCTGGAAGTGACAAGTACTATGTTTCAGTCCTGGCTTGGTGGCTGTTGGGAAGAAGGTGGAGCAGGGTGGGAGCTGAGCCAGGACGCCTGGAGGGCCAGAGCTGTGATGAGCCCTCCAGACCCACAGCTAGAATCTCAGGCCCCTGAAACAAGGAGGTTTTACAGCACAGTATATACAAAATAATTTATTATTGGTGGAGTATTAGATACCAATACTGAAGAAACATCCTCTGTCCTTAGGAAAGGGGATCAAAAGAAAGAAATCCTTCTCTTTGTCCTGCCAGTGTTTTCACTGTGTCAGAGATAAAGAAGGGGAATCCTTTGACTAATTTTTTATTGGAGTCTGAGTTTCAATCTGTGGCCCATAAACAAATAACTTAATGTCCTCAGCTTAGATGCCTCATCAATTTAAAATAGACCAATAATATCTTCTTGCCTGGAGACAGTTGGCTGCGTTGGATGCTATTTTAAAGCCCACTTGAGCTCTAAGAGTTCTAGTTCTGTGATAAAGCCACTCAGATGCATAGAAAATATGCCTTGTTTATTGCCCCTTTTCAAACAAGTCCATTTTTCTCTTTAACACAGTTAGGGACAATTTACTGTGCTTTTTAGTTCTGGTAATTTAGGAAGGGTTTCCATGGTTTCTGCGGTCTCCTGGTCAGTTTTTCTGTGCATCAGCTTGACGATAGATTATCTGAGGCCAACATTGTCAGCTCTTTGGATGAATGTCTCCCAGGCATGTAGTCCCCCAAAGGGCAGTAAAAATTGGCTTGGAGGGTGATGTAATCTCAGATAATATGTTGGTTTGTAGGCCACCAAAGGGCCGCAATACATAATCAGATATAAGGCATATCTATGGTATTAAAATCTCATGGTGATGAAATCCAGGAGAATTAGAAAAAATATATACAAAAACACTTGGAAAGTGAAAATGTCAGTCGCTCAGTCGTGTCTGACTCTTTACGACCCCATGGACTGTAGCCCGCCAGGCTCCTCTGTCCATGGAACTCTCCAGGCAAGAATACTGGAGTGGGTAGCCATGCCCTTCTCTGGGGAATCTTTCCAACCCAGTGATCGAACCCAGGTCTCCCACAATGCGGCAGATTCTTTACCATCTGAGCCACCAGGAAAGCCAAAAATACTTGGAGGGGGAGTAATAATAATAATAAATTTTTAACGTGTTGAGAAATACTGCCCTGGGCAGAGTCCTGAGGGAAGGTAGGGTTATAAGATCTGTTGTGTTAGGATCCCATCAAATACAACACATTTTTTTTCTTTAAGTTTTCAAAGTCTATATTTAAGGTCTATCTTCCCCCTTTCCTTCTAATCTACTACAGGACACATTTTGCAATGTTCTAAATTTAGACATTTCCAAATTTGCTTTACGTAAAGACTTTTCTTTTTTTAAAAAAATTATTTATTTATTTTACTTTACAACATTGTATTGGTTTTGCCATATATTGACTTGAATCCGCCATGTGTACATGTGTTCCCCATCCTGAACCCCCCTCCCAACTCCCTCCCCAAGATTTTTCTTGTGACAAAAGCCACATGTTGAAAAACGACTGTCTCTTTGGAGGTCAGACTGTTCTGTGTGGCAGTCTAGCAAAGAGGCTGTGCAGGAGACAGAGGAAGGAGAATTGCTTGAGTAAGAGAAACACACACATTTCAATCCCAGATTTGCTTTGGGTTAGCCTTGCAATTAGGGGAAAGCCCAGGAAAGCCCTGGAGGCCCAGTTTCCTCATCTGCAAAAAAAAAAAGGGGGCTGCTAATGCTTCCTGCTGCAGCGTTCTTGAAGGTGTTTTGTTTTTGTTTTTTTCCATTTATTTTTATTAGTTGGAGGCTAATTACTTTACAGTATTGTAGTGGTTTTTGTCATGCATTGACATGAATCAGCCATGGATTTACATGTGTTCCCCATCCCAATCCCCCCTCCCACCTCCCTCTCCACCTGATTCCTCTGGAGACGACTGATGTCCGGTGGTTTGGTGCTGGCTGTTTCTGAGTTAGGCAGTAAGGCAAGGGGTAGAAGAAGACCGTAACTGGCTAGAAGAGGACATGATTCCAGTTTACCTGTTTTGCCAAACTTCACAAACATCCTGTTTGAGTTCTTGCTGCTGCTGTTAAAAAAAAAATTTTTTTTTACTATCAGTAACTTTCAGAATTAAGATTTGGGCTTTGCATCAATCAAGAGACATCAGGACAGTCAGAGATACCAGCAAAGAACAGCATTTCTCTTAGTCTGTAAAATCACCATGATTTATCCTTTTAATGAAAAAAAAAGGGGGGGGGGTGGTGCTTGCTGAGGCACAACAGCTGTGGTTTTATGAGGGGAAAGTAAGCCAGAATTCCTTGTGGTGGGGCTGTTGCCACAAGGGGTCAGTTCTGGATTATTGGTTGAGGCTGGCATCATCCTACAGTGACACGAACTTGACTGTACATCAAATAGCTTGAAATAACTTGCAATTGTTTTAGGCGAGGAAAGCTCAAGCAATACCAGACTTGACTAGCTCTGTTTAAGTAAGGGCTTCAGTATTTTTGATCTGAGGTTGACTTGAATGTCTGGAGTGGGAACAGGAGAAGGGTAACACCATTATCTTTAAGCGTGCACTGGTTTTCTGGTTGCCCACTTAGCACATGTGAGCAGTTTAACTGTCGCCATGAATCAAGGGTTTCCCCCACTCCCAAGGTTATAAATAGAGATGGATAAATATTTTGGATCCATCAGCCTCCAAGTATTCTTCAGATGTTTTGGGTTCAACCAAACAGAATACATTGTGCTGAGCACATTCTCCCTTGATTTTTTTGAGGATTGTGTATGATTTATGGGAAATGGAATCCATATGTTTCTGCTTCATTTACACTTAAATCATCAAAAGATTGTGTTGTAAAGCTGTGTGATGTCCAAGATAGCTTTTGAGCTTGATTTTTTTAAAAAAATAAGCTGCTTCAGAGTTTTTGTTCCTTTAAAAGTTAGAGAGGGAGAAGAGAAAGAGAGATACCTAGGAAAGCCGATTTAGCCAAGATGAAATAAATTTGAACACCAGGAAGTTCAATTTAAACTGAGACTACAAACCGAAGAATCTCAAGTGAGTCCAGAACTGGGGAGAATACAAAGGTTCCTCTCCAGTCACTTTGTGAAGTGTCTCCAACAAATGCAGAAAAGCAGCTGGCCACTCACAGCCCCACTAAGGGAAGGGAAGGCTGTGACTGCAGTCAGTGACCCAGCTAACTCATGTGCCCACTGCCACAAGAGCTGTAGTTCTCAGGCCTCCTGAGAGCAGTCTCTCCCGTCCAGATAAAGAACTCTTTGCCCTATTTTAGCATGGAAATATCTGCTCTCCTGGTGTTTTCCCGGGGTTGTCCTGTCCCAGGCCAGCATTTCCTATTTGTTCTTCTGCCATCTGGCTCAAATAGCTGGCCACTGCACTGAATACTGTGTGTGCATTTGGGGTGGTGTTTACTTATTGGGCAATTTCTTTAGAGAAATATCTCATTTAGCTCACAATAGGGCCAAGAAGGCCTGCAGTTTATATAAAGTAAGAAATGTGTTAACTAGGGACCTATGAGTTTGTAAGACTAAGTTTTCTTTCCCCATCTCAGTATTTAGTCACTGTCATAGCAGCTCTTTAGTTATTTTAGGTATGCTTTATCATCTACATGTGGAGTCTTTTGAACAGTGTTGGGTGAAAAGCATCCAAATTAGAACTATTTTATGTGATAGTATAATTGAGATATCTTTAAATCTCTGTCGAGGACACATCTGCTCATCTCTAGAGCATTATCTAGTGTTAGAATATGGAACTTCATTATCCAGTGAGGTCTTTAGACTGTGTGGTCTGAAGTCATTTCAACAGAATTAATAGTCCTGTGAATTACCTGTATATCCCAATTTAGGTATCTGGGGGTGAAGGAGAGGATTTTGGAATCTAGAAGGTTAGAATTTTCTCCCTAATTCCTAGCCCTAAGGAACATTTAATAAAATGTTTCTTAAGTTCATCATCCTGTGATAACTGCTGTTAACATTTTAGTATATGTTCTTTAAGCACATGTATGTGGACATGTGTGCATGTCCACATACACAGAGTTTAATGAGATCATATTTATTCTGCTTTGTAGCTTCCGTTTTTCATTTAGAAACATATTATGGACTTTTTCCTAGGTTAGTAAACTGTTTCACCTTATGAGTTTTTAATATTTACAGAATTAGAAAATAATAATTTCTTAGGATTGTACCATGATTACTTTAATATCTCAGAGTATTTTTAAATGTAGGGTTTTAAAAAATATTTTAGAGACATTTTTAAGTGTTGACCTTAGTTTTTAGCAATGGTTTCTATATCTTAAGACACATTAGAAAATAATTATCTTCTACCTCTTGCATTTTTGTTATATTTCAGACCAACACACCCTTTGAGAACCATGGAGAATACCCATTTCCTTTTAGAAGAGGTCAAGGTCTCCTATTTTTAAACACTCTAGAAAAGATCAATAGGATAATCAGTTTTTTTTTTTTTTTCCTTCTTTAGGAAAAAAGAAGTGTTTCCCCATTCCATTGCCAAGAGGAGCCTTGTGGTTTAAATCAACCTGCATCCCTTTTTGTGATGCTTAGTCCACTGGTAAAACTCCCAGAGTCAACTCCAAAGAAAGCTGAGGTCCATACCTATTTTGCCATCTGTTTCTGAGTTTTTTCTCCCCTTGTTTTGAAGTTTCCAGTCTCTTACTATAGAACTCAGTCCTGTTCGTTTTGTTGACAGGTTGCCAGGATACATCCAGGCGACAAAGGCAGGGGTTCCTGCTCCTGGCAGCCAGCCTCACCTCCTAAAAGAACTCCTGCAAGAGGGGAGGTGAGTCCTGGATCTCCCATCTATTCTACTCCTGTTTCCACCAACTACCCCACCAAGGAATTCAGCAAGCCATGACAAAAGCCGAAATAGAAAAATAAAGAATGAGTATTACAAGGTGAGGATCCCAGAAGGTGTGTTCTTTCTCTGTTGTCTGGTAGCTAATCTGTCTCAAATCTTACCTTTCGACTAGCAATAATGACCTTAATCTCTTCCACTTCCTTCTCACCACTATGTAGTGATATTTGCTTGCTATAGAAAAGGAATCCAAAGAAAAGTAACCTGTTCTTAAGTTAAAAAAATAACCCTCAAGTACTACTAAACAAGTGAACAAATAGGGTTTTACTTCATTGGATGATTTTGGCAATAATGTGAATTATGAACTAAATGTTTTAATTACTAAAAGAATCAAATTCCACTTAAGGGGGTGATGTTTAAAATTTTCTTCAAAGAAAAGTTGATAAAATATATTTTCAACATTAATCAGAATTATATCACCCAGAAAGTTTCTTCACATGCCTTCCAGTCAATCCCCCTTTCATAGGCAACCACAGTTCTCATTTCTATTACTATAAGAATAATTTGGCTGTTGATGAAGAGTTCTATATGAGTAGAAGCATACAATGTATATTCTTGTATCTGACTTCATTGGCTCAGAAGAATATTTCTGAGACTGTTCCTGTTGCTATGCATATAAGCAGTTCAATTCCTTGTGTAGATGAGTATTATAACATTAAGGAATTACTACACAGCTGTTTATCTATTTTCTTATTAATTGATACTTGGTTTGTCTCCAGGATGGGGTTCCTATAACTAAAGCTGCTCTAAACATTCTTGCACAAGTCTTTTGGTGGACATGTGTTTTCATTTATCTTGGGTTCAGACCTAGGACTAAAACTGATGGATGATAGGGTAGATGTATGCTTAACTTTATAAGGAATATGAAATGATATGGCACTGTAGTTATAATTTGTATTTCCTTCATAACTAATGTAATTAAGCATTTTTACATGAGCTTGTTAGAGACTTGTATCTCTTTTTTGTTAAATATCTATTCATATTTCTTGTCCCTTTTAAGTGTTTTTTCTTTTAATATCATCTTCATTGATAAATAATTCACATACAATAAAGTGCACTCATTTTAAGTACACAGTTTAATGAGTTTTGACGAGTAATTTTATCCATTTTACCACCAATGATAAAATATAAGAACATGTCCATTAACCTTTGTAGTTCATTCTCTGCCCACCCAGCCAGTAAGTAATCACTGATCTACTTTCTGTCACCTACAGATTAGCTTTACTTGTTTGGAATTTTATATAAATGAAATAATTCAGTATATTCTCTTTTGCATATGACCTTTTATCTGGCATAATATTTTTGAAAGAGATCTGTCATTGTGTGTGATTTGTTCATTTGTTTTGTGGAGTAATATTCTATGAATGCATCATAGTTGGTTATCCATTTACCCATTCACATGTGTTTATGTCATTTGTAATTATTTAGGGATAGGATGTTCATGTTATCAGGTGGATATAGATTTGACTTTATGAGAAACTGCCCAGTGGTTCTACAGAGTGGTTGTAATAGTTCATACTCCCATCAGGCATATATGAGAGTTTCTATTTTTTTCACATCCTAACACTTGGTATTGGTAACTTAAAATTTTTTAGCCATTCTAGTGTGTGTATAGTGGTACCTCTGTGGTTTTAATTTGCTTTTTCCTGAAAAATAACAGGAAATGCAAATTAATTTTTTGTTTAATTTACTATTATTTCATGAGCTTATTGATAGTTTGTACATTTTCTGTTGTGAATAGTCTATTCAAAGCTTTTGCCTGTCTTTGGCAACCCATGTTGGGTTGCTTGCCACATATGTGTCAAATCTTTGCACTGCAAAAAATTCTTCCCAATCTGTGGCTTATCTTTTAGTTTTCTTAATGATATTTTTGAAAGGATAGATGTTTCTAATTTACATTAACTAAAATTTTAAGTTCTTTTATGTTTAGTGCCATTTGGTTTTTCTGTCTAAGAAATCTTTGCAAATATTGAGATCATAAAGTATTTTCTTATAGTTTCTTCTAGAAGGTTTATAGTTTTAGTTTTATATGTAGTTCTCTGATTCACCTTGAGTTAATTTTTGTGTTTGGTGACAGTAGATGGTTGATACTAATTTTTCTGCTACATGAATCTGGTTGTTCCGCCATTATTTGTTTAAAAGATTTTCCACCCTTTATTGAATTATCTTGGCATCTTTGTCAATATGAATTGACCACATATGTGAATCGACCATTTATTTCTGGACTCTATTCCATTACATCAATCTAAACAAAACTTGATAGGATTCTAGTTGCACTGATGTCTTTATTGGCATCATTAATTTTTAATAAGCCAGTTATCTTGGCTTTTGTGTATGAAAGTGTTCATCGCTCAGTCGTGTCCAACTTCAAAACAGATATACAAGTTGAGTGCTTCCATGACTGTTTGCCAGTGGAACCATGCATAAGAGTTTAAATCAGGTTGGGCATTCTGTCTTTTATGTTTTCCAAATCTCCTCCTATACAGTAATCTGATCTTAAGCTATTCTGTAGTAAGCCAAAACCAAAAATATATGGTTATAAATTTAATCAAGAATGATAATCCCAGTAAAAGGGATGTATTTTTTTAAACCCATTTATACAAAATGTGGCTTGAACTTAATTTTCATTCATTCATTCATTCAATAACTTATTGTCTACTGTTTTTGAGACACTGTTCTAGACAAAGAAAGAGGGGAGGAAAATATTTCTTTGTTTATAATTTCTGCAAGGAAACAATATTTATAATCTCTACTCTAGTGCCTGTTTAACAGTGTGTATCTCACAATTACAAAGAAAAAAACCTACGCCTGATAAAATAAACATTGGACAGAATGTTTTTATGCATTCCTATGACTTTACAGAAAATTATCAGTACTCAGAAATTTACTAAAGAAAAATACTTTCTCGGGCTTTTCAAGTTTGCTATCCCTGTCATAAAACATCCATTTCTTTTAAGCCCGAGAATGTCAACTATCCCTTCTGTCCATTTGAATTTTCCAACCTGTTTTAGAAATTGAATCTTATATATTATTTCTAAGAGAAATTTGTTCAGAAACTGGACTTTAATATGGCCATTTCTTCTCTGGATTTATATAATTTAAATGAATATTATTTTATTCTAATATTATTATTTTAAAAAATTTCCCCAAACTCCCTGGTGAATGAAACATTTTTAGGAGTTTTGCAGTTCAAGAGATAAATTGTAAGTGGTGAAGAATGTGAACAATTCCAGAGCACCCTTCCTGAGGCAGCAGAGGAGATTCCCGTGGAGTCTTAAAGACATAGAGAAACCTTTTCTAAATAGTACAGTATACAAGTACAGCAGGATGCACCCACAGTGTTGGGGCAACAGGAAGGGAAATGTAACGGGGGCACACTGTTAGCAGGTTAAAAGTGATGACAACTGCAGATAGAATGTCCAGAGTACAGTGCATCCAAACATTTATTTCAGAGACTTCTAAAAGAAGGCCCATGGCGTTCTCGCAAACAAAACATTAGGATTGCGGTTGCCCCGAGTGCTATTTTGTAAATTCACACTGATGAATAATTGGGTGTTTCACTGTTAAAATGGAGTTTTCTTGTTGTGTGCTCTAATTCAGAGGTTAGAAAACTTCTCCTATAAATGGCCATATAATAAGTAATTTAGGTCCTGTAGTCTGCCTGTTCTGATGTGGTAAGACAAAAACAATCAAGACAAATACACCAATGAACAAGCATGACTCTGTTCCAGTAAAACCTTATTTACTAAAAAAAAAAAAAAGATGGACAGCTGGCCAGGTTTAACCAGGGAGCCCTAGATTGTCGACCCTTGTTCTAATCTTCAAGGAATTCTAATGAAATATTTTGCAAATTTGTCCATTGACGTATAAAGAACCGTGGCCTTGAAACTGTTCTTCCTCTGAGTGCCTGGTACTGTGGGGCTATCTTCAAAGAAGATATGACTTCCAAGAATTAAGCTTTGAAAGTCATCTGCATTCAGAATGCATGTGGTCAAAAGAAACAATATATGAATAAGCCCAGCTCAGGAAAACCTAACTTTGTTTCTCCTTCAGTTTTCTTCCTAGTCCTACAACACCCAATACATGTGTCATCGAGTCACAAAGCCGCCTCTGGCATGCTTGTCCGGCTCTATTCTTGGGAGGAGCTCTGTGCCATAGATGTAGGTAGCTCATTTCTTGTTGAATAGTCTTTACCATGAGGTATAGGGCTTGGTTCCGTACACAGTCCTTGGCTGGATTCTCATTTCTCTTGGATTTGGTATACAGGCAATTCCTCAAGATCCTTGGGCAGTTGGGTCTAGGACTTCCTAATTGAAATCAAAATCCATGGATCCTCAAGTCTCTTATACAAAATGGTATAGTATTTGCATATGACCTACACACATCCTCCAGTATACTTTTAAGTCCTCTCTAGATTGCTTGTAACACCTAATACAGAGTAAATGCTATGTAAACAGTTGCCAATGTATGGCAAATTCAAGTTACGTTTTTCTAAAACTTTCTGGACTTTTAAAAAATATTTTTGATCTGATGTTGGTTGATTCTGCAGATGCAAAACCTGAAGATACAAGTGACTGACTATAGTTACACTTCTAAGCCCAGAATGATAATTCCTTTAAAAAATTATTGAAATATAGTTGATTTACAACATTGTGCTAAAGTTTAGGTGTACAGTAAAGTGATTCAATTATACATATACATATATTCCTTCTTTTATAGTTTCTTTACCCTTATAGGTTATTACAGAATATTGTAGAGTTCCCTGTGCTATACAGTAGATCCTTGCTGGTCATATATTTTATATATAGTATATTAACCCAAAGCTCCAGATTTATTCCTCCCCTCATCCTCACATTTCCCCTATGGTAACCATAAGTTTGTTTTCAAAATCTGTGACGCTGTTTTATAAATAAGTTCATTCCTATCCTTTTTAAAAATTAGGTTCCACATATGAATGATATAATATGATATTTGTCCTTTTTTGTCTGTCAGTTAGCATGATACTCTCTAGGTTCATTCATGTTGCCGCAAATGGCATTG